AAACCGCAGATGGATCTCAGTGTCCCATGAGCAACACGGAGGTGCAAGGACACAATAACTTCTTTGAGCTGTTCACAGAACCACAGGAGAAGTGATTAAGAAATTGAAGAGATAAATGTGTGCAACAACTTGGGAACCACCCCGTGGGCAATGTCTACATCAAGTTTTGGCGCAAAGAGGATGCAGACCAGGCAGCGACTGAATTCAGTAACCCATGGTTCAATGAGCAGGCTGTGCATGCCAAGCTGTCTCCTGTCCTCGACTTCCAGAAGTAATGCTATTGACTGTAGGAGATGGAAGAATGTGCCATGGTGGCTTCTGCAACATCATGTGCCTGCAAACCATCTCCCAAAACCACTAGGAAGCAGCTCTATGGGTGAAGACCTTGGCACAGGTTCCCTATCCACCTCGTCCCCAAGAAAAAAACCAATGACACTCCCCAAATGACTGACATGGCCATTTCTGAGACCCTGGCCCTTTTGCCCTCTACCTCCGACAGGCACAGATGTTCTTGGCCAGGACCCCTCCTCAAAGCTCCATTAACTCCCCAGGGCCATCTTTCCCACCCTCTGGGGCCTACCGCCCCTCCTCTAATAAAATTCTATATTAAAGGTTTAAATAATAAATAAACATTGGGAGAGGGAGGCATGACAGTCAGGGTCCAAGCGACCTGATGTCGGAACGACTCAACCAGCCACTGCTGGCTTTGACATTGGAAGATGAAGATCATGGGATGAGGCCCTGACCAGGTTGCTAAGTTGGCTGGAGCACCGTCCCATGCACCAAAAGCTGGCAGGTTCAATCCCAGGTCAGGGCACAAACCTAGGTTGTGAGTTTGGTCCCTGGTCGGGCGCATGTGGGAAGCAGCCAATCGATGTTTCTCTCTCTCTCCCTCCCTTCCTCTCTTTCTAAAATAATTTTTTAAAAAACATATCCTTGAGTAATTTTTTTAAAATTATTTTAAAAAAAGAAAAGAAAAGAAAGACACCATGGGATTTAGGCAGGCTCCAGAGGCTGGAGCAGGCCAGGGAAGAGGTTCTTCCCTAGAGCCTCCAGCAAAGAGTAGTGCTGCGGACGCCTTGATGTTTGCCCAGTGAGACCATTTAGGACTTCTAACCCAGGTTTTTTCAAAGCCATTACACTTACAATAGTTTGTTATAGCAGCAGTAGGAAACTAAAACAGATTTCGATACTGGGAGAAGGGTGCTGCTGTAGCAAATGTGGACATGCCTTTGGAACTGGACTTGGTCAGAGGCTGGAAGAATCTGAGAAGCATGATGAGAAGAGCGAAGATTGCCTTCAACAGACTGTTAGGAGAAATACGGATGTTAACAACTCCCCTAGTGAGGGTTCAGTAGGGAACATGGAAGAGAAAACCAGTATCACCTTAGAGAACACCTCAACGGGCATGAACAGACTACAGGCAGACATATGGATGCGAAGGGCGCTGCCAGTGGGGGCCCAGATGGACATGAGGAACATGTTACTGAAAACAAGAGGATATATCGTCAGAAAATGGTCCTCATGAGACAGATACTGTGGATGCAGACATAACTCATATCACCCTGCCCTCAAGGGACTACAGCCTTGAGAAATGAGGGATAAAGAAGGAGGGGTGCCAAGCCTTCCAGGTCTCTGGTGAGTGGATCTATTAAATCACTTTCTCATTACCTTGCTGTGTTTTCTTCAAAACAATGATCAGGTGTGAAATGATACCACTTACTACCTAGTGGACCTCTCCCCCTCGGGAGCTTAAAGCTCATGGAACAAGGACCCCAGTTAGCTTGTCATTGCTGTAGAAGAGAGATTTCCAACTGGTGCGCCACCAGAATCTTTAAAACAGGCAATACGTGGCCATTTAGTCAGGGGCACTGCCTCTTTTCCCTTAGATTGTCAAAAAAAAAAAAAAAAAAAAAAAGACAACAGCCAACACAACAATAGCAGTCCAGTATGAATGAGTCAAAATTATACCTATCTTTTGGTCAGATCAGCAAAAAAATATATTTTTGTTGTGCCACAGAGTTTTAGTAATTAGTTTATGTGTGCCATGAGATGAAAAAGGTGGAAAATCTCTGCGGTAGAATGGAGCCCGGAACAGTGCCCAGGTACACAGTAGGGGCTCAGTTTACATTTTCTGAACAATGGACAACGTCGTTTTAGGCTGCTCAGGCACACTGAAAGAGTGGCAGAGTAGAGGTAGTGGTAAGTTCAATGGGGGCTTGCTCTTCCTTTCTTTCTTTCTTTTTAAAGATTTTATTTATTTTTAGAGAGAAGGGAGGGAGAAAGATAGGGAGAGAAACATGGATGCACATGAGACAAACATTGACCAGTTGCCTCTAGCAGACCCCCCAGCTGGGGACCCGGCTCACAACCCAGGCATATGCCCATGGTTTGATTCCCAGGTTTGATTGCCTAGGTGTTCATGGACCTTTCGGTTTGCAGGAAACCAACCGAGCCACACTAGTCACGGCGGGGCTCTTAATTGTCTCTGGGCCACCTCCTTTCCCTTCTGGGTCCCACAGGTCCCACAGCCCTCAGCCCTACTAGGAAAGGGGTGGAGCCACAAAGGAGATTCCCTGCACTTGGACAGAACAAGTGAACTTCTACCAGCTCCGTCTTCCCATCTCTATCATGCAAACCATCATATCTCCCTCTGAATGAATCCTGTGAATCAAGTAAAATTATACTCGTCAGCCTAGCAAATCTTCCCTTTCTAGCTTCGCCTGCCCTGCAGGCTTCAAGCAGCCAGGTACTTTGTTTTTTGAAAGGACTTGCCAAGAGTAAAACAGAAACTCTGACCCCTTACTATCACTTTCACTATGAAAAAACCTAACACCTTCCATACCTCCACACCCCCACCTTATCCACCCCATGCAACCATTAAAAAATAATTCATTCTGTAGCTAGTTCTCATCCTTCTACCTCAGTTATGAAAATTTAAAGGAATACAATTTTAAAAACCATGTCTGTGGAGTGGAAAGTTAGAGCAAGACAAAAGGAGGAAAAAAGTAAGATCCCTTAAAAGTTAAACTTTTGAATTTCCAACAGGAATTACTGAAAATGTATCTGTTCATAGCTCTCCTTTCCCTCCATGTCACCCGGAACTCCACAGTCATCAGGGAGCAGGCACCGAGGGAGCCTGTGTGACTGCTGCTTCAGAGCCTCAGTCGCCCAAAGCTTGTACACACAGGAGGTCAGCAACAGGGAAAAGGGGCCTGGCTGCCCCCAGGGCCCCAAAAGCCTGACTGAGGTCACACTCCAGGGTTCCAGGAACAAGAAGGCAGCGGCTTAGGCAGACAGGAAATGAGTCTCGGCCCCAGAGGGCCCAACAAAGCAACCGGGGATATCTCATTAGCTATATTACAAAATCCTCTAGTGATCAAGATTCCGGCTGCATCATGTCCTTGTCACTGAAGAAGAAAGTGGCCAGTCAAAATTACACTGTTACTTCATACCATAGATACTGGAGATGCCAGCCAAGGTCAGCTACCCTTCCAGAAACTCCACACCTCGTGGAAAAGGGCAGGTTCTCAGTGACCACTACAGGGCTCTTGGTTTCGGTCCCCAGTGCCATTCCTGCATTATCCTCTTATGAACCAAGGACAGCAGTGAAGTCCAGCCAGTCAATAAAAGAAGCAAAAGGGCCAGCCTTGTCCAAAACAGGCAGACAAATCGTGTTCATTGGATTTGATGTGACTTCTAGAGCCTGTGTTCCATGGCTACCAAATGCCCAGTGCTTAGAGAGTCAGCGTAAGCACTAAAGGATCTTACAGAAACCTCACTTTGCAGCCTGGAGCTGAGGGAAAGAGCAGGGAGGAGTACCTGGAAGACACTGTTTCTACAGCATGATTTTAGTAAATCTGTCAAGACTTTAACTGCCATAATAACAAAAAAAAGGCAGCAATTAAAATAAAAGGAGGAAGGAGGGAAGAAAAGCAGGTGTACTTCAGCAGATGTCATTAATTCTGTTTTAAATAGAGAATTAGTTAAAATCTTGTTTATTTAGCAGACTGGTGCACCCAGGTTGGCAGTTTTAAAATTCTAGACAGGACCTTTGGGTATCTACATCACTTATAAAGTGCCAACATTAAAAAAGTCAGACTTTAAAGTTTCAGGCTTCTAAACAGAATGTTCACTGAAAATAGACCATACTATTTAGTTTTTTATTTACTTACAGTATCTGACTCTTTTTCTCGGGAAAGGAATATATTCTATTGTAACACTGTAATTGCCATTGTAATTTTGCAGTTAAACTGAAAGATTGAATCAAGATCTTCTAAGCTGTACTTCTGAAAAATCACAACTGCTATGTACACTAAAAATAATGCATTACCTATCATAAAAGTGCTACTACAGAAAATCATTTCAAGCTCCAGAATACATATGAGCCAAGATCAAGCACGTATAAACAAACTGGAAAATGGAGATTATGCTCAGGACTGTGAGGAGACTTGAGTTCTCTTTCCTGCTTGCCTGACAAAAGTTTGAAAAAGAAGCCTCCATGCCTCAGTTTCCTGTTTTGTAAAAAAGTAGGTAATTATACTAGCTTTGCTCACCCCTCTGGGTTATTGTGGATATCAAATGAGGTATGTTTGTAATACTACTTAAATAGGTGTGGTTATCACTAGCAGGCTCAGTGCCTGAGGCAGATTCTGCCCTAGGAGCCAGATATGGCCACAGGGTATACAACTGACACAAGTCCTCTGTTTGGAGCCAGGGGTACTTTTTAAGCATCAACTGGATTGTCACTAAATGCACCAGGTGGCTGAACAGGAAGTTTCCCAACCAGCAAAGAAAAAGCGGGAACAGAGAAGAGTGAAGGGTGACCGTGCACTGTGACTGGGGCATGACCCCTGAGACGGGGTCACCTGGAGAGGAAGGGAGGGACCCTGTACAAAACCGGGAAGGCCCTAAGGACGCTACTCTTGGGCAGGAAGCCCCTTGCCCCCGTCCTTGCGGCGCTCCAGGACAGTATGGGTCCAGGCGGCGCCAGCCCTCACCTGCGGTGTCCCAGATGGAAATGTTGAAGGAGCGCCACTGCTTCAGGTAGAAGGCGCCGCCCACCGTGCTGACCGTGTCCGCGAAGCGCCGCTCCATGTACCTCTGCAGCAGCGACGTCTTTCCCACGTTCATATCCCCTAAAAGCACGATCTTCCCGTCGGGCTTCCTCATCTTCCTGCAGAAAGTACCCCTCCTCACCCCCAAGCCCGTCCGGCCCGTGCGCTCCGGGCGCAACTGGAGCAACTAGACACCGGCCCTGAGACGGCTCGGACCCGAGACCTGGACTCAGGACTAACAGGGACCTGGACTCGCGGGGACCCCAAATTTGCGGAGGCCTCCGGACCTTCTTGTCCCGAAGCCCGGAACCGCGTAACAAGAAGCGCGTGTCCGCGCCAGGGCAATACCAAAAGACACGGGGCTTTCGTCCAGGGCGCCAGGCCAGGGCACCCCCCCGGCCCCGCCCCGGGCCCTGCCCCGCCCCCTCCTGGCTCTGCCTCCAGGCCCCTCCCCCCACTTCCCGCTCGACAATCTCCCCCCCCACGCCCCGCCCTCCACAGCCTTCCCGACACCCTACCCCGGCCTCGCCCCAAGCCCTACCCCTCCTCTCCTCCCGGCCACCCCGGCCACCCCCGGCCCCTTCCCGCCCTGCCTCCCAGCGTCCCCCGCCCTGCCCACTCCCACGCCCCCGGCCCCGCCCCGACTCCCCGCCCGACCTCCCACCCTCCTCCACTCCTCTCTCTGCCGCCCGGGGCACCGCTCTTTCACTTCCCGCATCCCCTTCACCCCCTTCCTACCTGTTCAGACCCCAGGGACACGCTCCTGAGCCATCCCGAAGGCCCCCAGGCACGGGTGACCCCAGAGCCCTGAGGTCTGGGGCTTGTAACGGGGCCCCTTGCCAACCCAGTCCACCCAGCGCTTTCCCAGCTGGGTCGATTTCCTTATCTGCGTGTGTGCAAATGTAGCCACTAGTCAAGGTTATTATAAAAGTTTACCTTAAATGAGCATCTGTGAAAACGCATTTCTTAATGGTTAGAAAACTGGGAAGAGGGGAGACTGCAGGAGGATCGGCTTCTAAAGTCGTTTTCTTGTTGCTGTTATTTGTTTTGTTAACTTTTACAAAAAAAAAAAACAACCCTTTATTCTATGTTATATTTGAAAAATGGACAGCCATTGCCATTTAAAACTTCGGATTGAAAATTTGACTCTGGCAGTTACAATGACTATCAGCAAAATCTTTCCTCCTCCTTTTTTTAATAGAGTAAACCTTGATATGCCTCTAAAATATTCAGAATGTGGGGTTCGGTATTTACTTTAGAGAATGCTGAGGTAGGACTCGGAGCCCCAGTTTGAACACCGGCAGGCAACGTGTGCTGCGGCCACTGTGCCTCCTCACGGTTTTCTGTGGAAAGGGAATGGGATCCATGGCCCACTTAAGGAGCGCTGTGGTACTCAGGTGGGGCAGAGGTGTGACGGCATCTCGTCCACTGCACACCTCGGGTGTGCAAGGTACTGTGAGACTGACCTTGCCTGACCTCGGCTCTCTCCGCGCAGAGCCGTGCCTTGCTCTGCGTTTCCTAATCCACCCGCTGCAACTCCGCCCATTATCGCCTCCCCTGGAGCACACTTGCCACCCTTTTTACAATGCCTTTCCCACCTCCTTTCCCTTTATGGCCCTATTCCGCTTTATTTTCTTGCCACTAACTTAAATTGAATTGTTTATTCACATGTTTAACTGTGCGGTCTTCCCCTCCAGAATCTAAGCTCCATGAGGAAGAGGCTTTTTTCTGTTTTGCTCACCACCGTGCCTGGAGAAGAGTATCTAGCATCACAGTTGCTCAAAGAAGCTTTGAGTCAGGAAAGAACGGATGAATTCACCATCCTGGTGAGGCCAGAAATGAAGTTCTGCAAGCACATCATAACCAGCCATGCTCCACACTCTGACTCACTGAGCCTAGCTTACGTGAAAAGTCCCCCGGTTCCATATCCATTTGTGTGGGCCTTGTAATTCCATCTGTCAGCCCAGGCACCCTTCCCCCAGCCCTTTCCCTCTGGGAGTCCTTTCATGTTCCTTCCTCTGCATTTCCACCACCCTCTCAGCTTCTTCCTTGCATTTTGGCCTGTGGGAATTTCTAACTGGCCCATTTTATTCACCACTATCTTATTGTTATCTCCTGTAGTAATTTAGCAATTCCATAGGAACAGGGAGCATGTTTTAAGCTAATTCTGTGTCCCATCCAGCTCACTACGCCTTCCTCAACACACTCCATCTTTCAATAAATATGAGAATGTAAGCCCATGGAAGTGGGGTCTTCGTATTTTGTTCTCTGGTGTCTCCCAAGTGGCCTGGGACAGGAACATAATGCAAATTTGAATATATTTGTTGATTAATGGAATGTTGTCTCCACCTGAAAAACTGCTGCTGCATTCAGAGCAGGCTTTGGGGAAGGGAGGGACTATCCAGCACCTAGCCCAGTGCCTGGCATGTAGAATTCACTCAACAAGTTAGTTAAAAAAAATTTTTTAGCCCTGACTGGCTCAGTGAATTGAGTGCTGGCCTGTGAACCAAAAGGTCACCGGACATATGCTTGGGTTGCAGGCCAGGTCCCCAGTTGGGGGAGTGCGAGAGCAACCAATGGATATGTCTCCCCTACATTGATGTTTCTCTCCTTTCTCTCTCCTCTCTCCAAAAATAAATAAAATCTTTTTAAAAATATAAAAAATATATATTTTTTAATTGTACAGCATTTGTAAAAACTAAATTTAACCAGGAGAATGTCTCCAAATCAAATTTCTACCTCTCCTAAAAAAAGTTTCTTAAACAGTCAATGGCCTTATTCATATTCAGGTAGAAATATTGAAGAAGGCGGTAGGCTTGGGGTTGAGAGTCTGTTTAAACTAACTACTTACATGCCAAGTTTGATGTTTATTTTGCCTGGATTTAAACCACTGGCCTAACAGGGTAATCCTTTTTCCAATTGCTAGATGAAATGTGACTAAGGCCAAGAAAATTATGTAGTTTATTTTTTTTAAAGATGCAAAATGAGCAATTCAGGGTCTGTCTACAGATAAAATAAAAGAAATAAGAAAATGTGGTTCCTTCTCATGGATTTTGCAAAGTAACCTGGGAGCATTTCTAAGTAGTTTGTTGTAAAACAATTCTACCTTTTAAATTACTTTCCTTAAAAACAAACAAACAAGCCTGTCTATCTATCATGTATTCACTCAGCAGATAGGAATTGAAGCATAGACCAGTAAGAAAGACAGCCAATAAAACAAACAAGCAAAATACATAGTGTCCTAAATGATTAAGTGTTAAATGGACAAATATAGAGAAGAGAGGCGGATAAAGAATGAGGCCTGAGAATGAACGCAGAGGGGTTCACTTTTAAACAATACATATATTGTTTAAATGAGGAAGTTTCCACTGAGCAACAGAATGAAGTGAGGAGTTAAACATGCATTTGTCTGGAGGAAGGATTCAGGTAGAGAGGCCCTGGGAGGAAGCCCACCTGGGGAGTTGTATGGGCCACAGGGAAGTCCCTGCACTGAGCAGGAGAGGCAGGGTGAGCTGGACAGCAGGTGGGTGAGGAAGTGTGTGGGCGGGGCAGAAAGGGTCATTAGGACTTGTGGGTTGTCGTTAGGTCTGTGGCTTGTCCTCTGCATGGCATAAAAGAGTGCCAAAGGATTTTGAGCAGAGGACAGACCTGACTTGTCCCAAACAATGTCACCTACCTATTGCGTTGAGGTGGCCATAGTGGATACAGGGGCATAAGGGAGAGACAATGGAGGCTTGGATAAGCATGATAACAGTGTTCAGAGTTGTTTACATTCTGGTTATAATTTTAAGGTGGAACTTACAGGACTTACTGTAGTCTGGATATGGAATAATAAGAGTGAGGTGATGGGAGAGGGAAAAGGAGAGGGAAGGATGGAATGAAAGAGGAGCCAAGGACTGGCATCTGGAAAGACGGAGTACCACGTACACCTTCATTGACTCTAAAGTAACAAGCAGTCCATCTCCAGAACAGGGCTCCCCAACTTCCACGCAACTGACATTTTGGACCAAATAACTGTTAGTCCTGGTGGCCGTCCTGTGGATGTTTAGAAGCACCCCTGGCCTGGCCTCTACCTACAAATAGCACGAGTAATACCACTGCCCCATTGTGACAATAAATAAATGTCTCCAGACATTGCCAAATGCCCCCTGGGGTCAAAATTGCCTTTGACTGAGAAACATTGCTCCAGAAGTATACCCATACAATTTAAAATTTATCATTAAATTTCTTAAAAGTGAACATTGCTCAGTAGTTATTTTGAAACATACCTTATGAGATAGGGATCATATGTGAATCATATGTAAAAAAACTTCAAACATACATAAATATAAAACATGTAAATTATAAACATTTGTAAATAGATTCTTATGCTATTTGACATATAAAAACTTATATAAATATTTGTTCATATACATGTCAACCTTGTTTATGGTGATTTTTTTTTTGACCACACAAGCATTTTTTATTTGTATCTAACCAAATCTATCAACTTTCCCTGCATAGTTTCTGGCCTCATTATCCATCTTGATCCCCTCCCCGTTTCCTGCTAAAGGCCTAGTATCAGCTGAGTGAAAGGAAAGAGCATGAGAAGATCTGGATTTCAAATCCAGATTGGCCGCTTTTTAACCAAGCAACTCTGGGCAAATGTTGTCAATTGTCCAGCACTTCAATTTCCTCATCTGCCACATGTGGACAATGATACTGCCCCTCTCACTGTTGTGGGTGCGTGACCCTTTACACAGGAAATGTACAATACATGTCAGTTCCCTTATTCCCTCCTCTATGTGGAGCCTCCCACTCTTGCCCCCCTCCCCTCTCCTGTGCCAGTTACGCAAGCATCCTCTCTGCCGGCAGCAGCACCCCCCGCCCGGCCCCTGCACTCGATAAGATGAATCAGGGCCTTGGGAACAAGAAACTTACCCCAGCTTGAGCAGGACATAGTGGGTACTTTATTGAGTCTGTTTCACTTTTCAAAATCAGGCACCCTACACCCTGCCCAGAGTTTCTGCTCGTCTTTCCCTTAAAATTCCCTTCATCCTCTTCCTTTCCACAGTAGGGTTAATGCACTGAGGGGTGGATTCCCTGCCCCAAGGCTTGCACTGCAATATTCCAGGATTGGAAAATGCGTGCCTCTGGACCCTTTGCAGGACTGCTGAGTGAACCAAACTTACAGAAAGACTATTGAGCATAAACACCTCACTCATAGATTGGGGGTTGGGAGGAAGACCTAGCTGAGAACACTTGAAAACTCCTTAGCCTGCTTCAAAAAGGCAAAATAAAATATCCAAAGCTGCAATGACATAACAACTGCAGTACTGGGACAAGATAGTAATAAGATGGAAAACTCCATGGCAAGTGGAATAGGGAAACTGAGGCAGATAGCTGAACACAATGGCCAAGCCATTTACAGTCAGGTGCAGATGGTCACCAGCGCGGAAGTCCCGGAGTACCTGGCAGGGTGCAAAACTGGGGAAACGGGGACCTCGCCCCCAAGGTAATCTATCCTCCTCTGGCTTCTCCTCCCTGGAGAGAACATCCAGGCCTTAGATATATTTCAGCTCCAGGCCCAGAAAAGCAGCAAAACCAGGTGGGTGGTGCCAGAACCAACTGCGATAACTAAAGACTCCCTGTCCTGTCACTGACTAATCAGTGGAGACCTCAGCCCTCAAAGAGCACACCTGGAGAACTGATGAATATTCTGCTAAAACCCTCCCCTGAGACCTCCCTTAAGATTCCCAGCTGCCAGAGAGAAAATCCTCCAGACAAA